AATCCTGGAGTTTTCTGGCTTGAAAAAATGTCCACAGGAGCACCCCTCTGAGCAGCAATGGAGACGGGCTGCACCCGGGTGGCGATTTCAGTGGTTAAATGTGTCTGATAATATCAGGATGCCACCAGCTTCTAATTTTAAGCTGGCTCAGGTAAGCCACTTTTAATCATTATGTGATAATCTTCTTACAGAGACCTGATTGGATGAGGCTGGAGGGGTTAACCTCTCTGAGCTTTGCCCACCATGATTCTCTGTGCAGCAGCAGGCAAGACCTGGGGGTGGGGAGGTGGAGTTGCAGTGATCTATCATGATTCCATCCCCCTGACCAGATGCCCCCCCCCTGCACAGTCTACAGGTTTTGAGTATTTGTACCTAAAGGTGGGTAGCTGGGACAGAATGGGGATTATGTTGGTGTACCACTCACCCTGCTGCTCAATAGTCTCCCTTCCTGAGCTAGCTGGGATGGTCTCGGGGTTGGGGTTGGAGTCTCATCATCTGGTAGTGGTGGGGGACTTCAGCATCCATATTGAGACTGCCCTTTCAGGAGTGGCTCATGACAAGCATGGGTCTGTCCCAGGTGGTATCTGGTCCTACTAATGCTGCTGGGCACACTCTGGACCTTATTTTCTGTGTTGGGTGGTGTGATGATGATCTTAGTGTGGAGGAACTCTTCACAGTTCTGTTGTTATGGACAGAACATCATCTGGTCAAGTTTAGACTCACTGGGACTCAGAACCTCTGTAGGAGTGGGGGACTGATTAGGATGGTTTGTCCCAGGAGGCTGATGGATCGAGATGGATTCCTGAAGGCTTTTGGGGAGTTTCCTGTCACCTCAGCAGGTGATTCTGTTGAAGCCCTGGCTGGAATGGGGAAATGGCCAGGGTGGTGAACACAATTGCTCCTGAGCATCCTCTCTTACAGAGTGGAGTCAAACCAGCCCCCTGGTTCTCCAGGGAGCTGATGGTGATGAAGTGAGCGAGAAGACTAGAGTGATGTTGGTGGAAGACTCAAAGTGAATCTAACCGAACATGGGCCAGAGCCTATTTGAAGGCCTACTTCATGGCAGTGTGGGCAGCCAGCGCTGCATCTGCATGAAGTCATCCAGCAGAGCTGTTACGAGTGGTCAGGGGTCTCTTACACATTCACTCTCAGATAGAAAGTGCAGACCACTCGGAGGCCCTCTGTGAAGAATCTGCACTGCATTTTGTAGATAAAGTTGCTCAGATCCACTCTGACTTGGATGCTACAGTTGATACAGTGCCAGTGAATGTAACCATGGCACCTGTCTGTCCAGTGTTAATGGATACTTTTCAACTTGTGCAGC